TTTTTTTTCTCTTTGCTGTTTTCCTTTTTTTTTTTTTTTTTTCCTAATCTTTTTTCTTTTTACCTTTCTCACTTTTCTGCTCAGCCTTCATACACTGATTTTCTAGACAGGTCCAGGTGCTCAGTTGCCAAATATCTGAATACTTTTAGGGTCAGATTAATGTTCAATTTTCATTCAATCAATTGTGCAAAGGGAGAAGAATGGTACTGTCTATAGATTGCAGGGCACCTCCTTCTGCATTCCTCTAATTGCCCAGATTTAACTCTAAAAAATAGAAAAAAAAAATATAATCCATCAGATGACCAGAAACCACCACAGAGGCGCAAGAAATATGAGAAATGGGGGCCAGCAGGTGATGTGGTGGTTAAGGGCACTGGACTTCCACATGGCTGACTGCTGTTTGAGTCTCAAACCTGGCAGCTTGCGTTCTTTCTTACTCTGTCCCTCTCTGATCAAATTAAAAATAAATAAATTTTTTTAAAACTATGAGAAATTGAAGAAAATATCTCTTCTCTAATTGAACAGAATAACTCCTCTTCCCCCACAAAGAATATGAGGGAACTCATGGAGATATCAGATAAAGAATTTAAAATATTCATAGTGACAAAGCTAACAAACACAAGAGAATAGAGACAATGAACACCAGAAGATGATAAAGAAAAGAGACACCAAGTTCCAGGAGGTGAGGAAGTTCTTGCACAATCTGAAAAAAGAGTTACACATCATAACAAAGAATCAAACAGAACTGTTAGAGATGAAGGCTATAACACAGGAAATCAAAACTTTCCTTGAAAATATCAAAAGCAGATTAGATCATACAGAAAATCAAATCTCAGATGTAGAAGACTGAACATATGACCTAGAAAAATTCACCAAAGAGAGTAAGAAAATAACCAAAAATTGAGAATAACATGAGAGTAATACTAGATACCATTAAACCCCCAAACATTTAGATCATCGGTATCCCAGAAGCTGAAGAGACTAATATAAGCATTGATAATCTATTCCATAAAATCCTGGAAGAAAACTTCCCAAACCTAGAGAGGCACTCAAATATCCAGACCCAAGAAATACAAAGGACCCCACATAGAATCGACCCCAGAAGATCTTCCTCCAAGCACTTGATGATCAGATTGACCAAAATCACAGAGAGAAGATACTAAAGTTGGCAAGAGAAATGTCAAGTTACTTTCAAAAGGATATTCCATAAAGCTAACATCGGACCTCTCATCGGAAACAATGCAAGCAAGGAAAGAATGGGAAAATATATTCAAAGTGTTAAGTGAAAAATAATTTCATCCAAGAATACTATACACAGCAAGATTATCTTTCATATGGGAAAAAAATTTTTTTTCAGGTAAGCAAAACCTTAGAGAATTTACCAACACCAGACCAGCTCTCCAAGAAGTTCTGAAGGGAGTACTGTGCCAGGAAAATTAAAGTCAGACACAAAGAAATAAGAGTACAAGAAACAAGCAAGAACATAGCCAGCCTAATGGTAGGGACAGGTATGGAGTTGAATGTTAAATTCCAGAGTTTAAATGGAAAGATCAGACCATAGTAACACTGCAAATTCAATAGAAGAGAGATTAATTACATGAGTCCGAACTACTGAAATAGAATTTTTTGATTTTAGTCTAAAACATTACTGATTTTCTTCAATGCTTTGATTTCCATATTTAAGGATTTTTGTCTTCTTTTAAGCTGTTGATAGGTTCCTCTACCTACTATTTGAACTAAATCCTAATGTTTTTCCTGGCTTTAAATTTTAAGCAAATTTAACATTTTTTGATTTTGATCTATTAAAACTAAACTTTTTTCACTAAAAATGCATTTGAAAGTACCTGTTAATACTTACTTAATGGCTGCAGTAATCTATATAGCCCCAGTGAAGTGCTACTTTATAGTGTGTTCACTTTACTCACTGAGATTTACACCTAAAGTCATAAATATGTACATATCAGCTGTGCTTGCTATTGAAAGTCTTTAAATTAAGATCTTTAGTGAATCAATAAATGGGGGAAAAAAAGTGTGGAAAACAGTTGTACATACCAGAGACAGTGTGGGAGAAGGGAGGGAGTTGGCAGAGAGTGAGAGGTAGGGAATGGGGGGCTGGGAATAAAGCAAAATATATAAGAAAGAAGAAATAGAAAATTATTTGTTGATGGTAACATGTATGGTAATCTCTTTGATTGAGCCAATATACAATGTATACTGGCTGGAAAAATCTCATTTTGTATACAATATTGATGTATAATGAATGACTGTAAATAAATAGATGAAAAAGAAAAAGAAAACAAATAAACAGAAAGAGATAATAAAATTAAGATGAAGAAGGGCTGGCCCATAGCCTAATGGTTGAGGGAACTAGATTTCACATGGCCAACTGCAGTTTGAATCCTGACCCTGGTGGCTTGAAGGACATGATGAGTGCAGGAGTGTGCATGCCCCCAAATCCCGACAAGTTGGATAAATGGAGAAGGAATTGCAGCATGGCTATGACTCATTGGGGGGTGCTTTCGCCTCTCTCTCTCTCTGATGAATGCATGTGCCCTCTTGGCAATTAAAAAGAAAAAAAAGAATGAGGAAGATTTATTCATCCAGCAAAATATTTTAAATCCCTATTATAGTCCAAGAACCATCTGATGTCTTGGGGATCCAAAAATTACAAGGGTCAGTACCTATTTTCAGAGTCATCAGTGTTCAGGGGACAAGGATGTCAAGAATGATAATGGTTGATGAAAACTACAATTTTGAGTACTTTCCTTGTGCTAGTACTAGGCTGTGCAGTTTTGCAGTCTCTTACTTAAGGTTCTCAAGCAAACTGAAGTAGGTCTTCCTTTTTTTCCCGAAGAAATACAAGAAGTTGTCTGTAGTCTATCAAGATAAAAACCAACTCTGTCTGACTGTAAAGCCATGCTCCTAACTGGTCCTTTACCCTGCCATTGGATGGTGGCTTAGGAGAGAAAGAACTGTGTGGTGAAATTGCAAGCAAAAGTCAAAATAAATTCCAGTGGTGATGTGTCTTGAAGGTGGTGTTAGACCTTAAAGGATGAGTGGAGACAGAATAATATTTGATGCTCTAGAAGTGGATTTGAAAAAATAAGTCTTTCCTATGAGTAAAAGCCAGACTAGTATATAGTGAACTCAAGATGACTGAATGCTGTTTCTCAAAAAGAGGATATAAGGGTCTAGTTACTTCATATATAGACTTTGAACCAAATGCCTTGTTTTCAGACCCTCTGACCCCTCTTTCTTCGAAGGTGCCTGGAATCACCATAAATCTTCCTGGATTTCATGCTTTGTAAATCTTGAGATTACAGTGCACATATAATTTCATAGCCAGATTTTTAAAAACTTTTTTAGCTTAGTGTTTCATAATGAGCATTTTCCCAAAGAAAAGTGCTTATTGCTAAAACATCTCTATGTACCTATCTGTAGGCCACAGTGGTGGGAAAGTTCTAGATTCCTGCCAGAGTATGAGTCAGGGTAGTCACACGTGTAATACAAGTGCTTATCAAACATCAGGAAGGGGAAAAAAATAGAAAAACACCTGTATTTAAAATAAATTATATTAATACCGTGGGACACCTGCCATCATCTTAGTACATCTTGGAACTTCTAAATGTGGCATGAGGCCAGAGAAAGCTCACATATGACACTGTAAGATAAGCTGTCTGGTTTATTAAGTTATTGGTCCAGTCGCTATATAAAATAGTTTTTCTGTCATCATGATCTGCGTATAATATGACAATGCCATCTAAAAATCCTTCCCCCTTATTGGTATTTATTCCTAGGGTGTTTCCACTGACTACATGGTTAAAGATGGCTAATGCAGTTTAGTCAGTGGGAAAGAGGAAATACAGTATAAGGAGCACACTCCTTCCTCTCAAAGCAAGACCTGTACCTTGACCATTTCACTCTGATCATACCTCATTGTCCAAAAATTACCAGAAGACGGAGAAACAATCAAGCGTGGTGCCCAAGTAAGAAGCCAAGATCAAATACTGGGGGCAAGTAATGGTCTTTGACATACTTGAGCTTAGTAAAATCAAGAGGGTTTAATTAATATAGATGAACATAATTGATTGGTAAAAGCCTTTTATCTTTGTAGTAGGGCCTCTACTTATTTATATTCTCATATGGAACTTAAAAATAAAACCTATATGTGTATTAGCTATATGTGTAAAATCATTAAGATTTTGCCTATATTATCCTATAAAATATGGAAGCTTTACTACTTTATACTCTTAGTCACTGGACTTAAGTCCTCTTTTCTCTCCATTTTGGGTGGTGAAAGTAAGTTCTTACAAGCTTAAGTTTGCTTATCTTGCTAACTAATGAATTCCAGAGCCTAGGCTTTAAAATACACATCTTCATAATGAACGAAAAGACCGAGATAGAGATAAAAGAGGTGATGCTCTACCCTACAGTAATGAAGAAGAGATATGGCTCTGTTCATAGAACTAGTTCAAAGAATCTGCTTTGAAGAGGTGTTAAATTAAGAACATTTCTAAGAGCATCAATCTTGTTTTCCTTTGCAATGTGAAAATTTGTCTGAATATTCATACTAGCAACTTGTTCTCTGTTCTTGGAGGTATAATTTGAACAAAAGGATCTTGTAAAACTCTTTTGAAATTGTTATTATATGCTGCAAAGATAACCTTCAAAGAGAAACCCATAATTCTGATTGGCTGTCTTCATTGATAGTTTATTATCTTATTGCCTTGGTAATAATGCTATAATTTACATGTCTAAATTCCTAAACAATCTAAAGACTTGTAACTTTGTTCTGTCAGATCAGAAGAGAATCATTAGCACTTTTCTCTTTTCCCACATAGATAATGAAGAGAAACAAACCGATTTCTTATTTTAACAAAGATTTAACCAGGGAAATTGCCTTTTTGTGTGTGAAAATTCAACATCTGATACCCTCACCTTTAGGAATTCGTGTAAGTTTTATTCTCAGGTTATTTAACAAGTTTTTCTTTTTTCCACAGACTGCCCTTCACCCACCTGGGTTCAGTTCCATGACAGTTGTTACATTTTTCTTCGAGAAGCCATCAAAGTAGAAAGCATAGAAGATGTCAGAAGTCAGTGTACTGACCATGGTAAGGGCCTTATTATTTTTTGTCAAAAATTAGTAAACAGTGTCCACTAATTTATTTAAAATAATAGTTTGTTTTATCTGACTTTTAACTGGGTCCTTAGAAAAATATACAACTTTTTTCTCTAATATATTAGCCATGGACAGTGAAATTAGATAAACATTTAGTCCTCGAGTAAAACAGTTCTTGGACAATACTGTCCAAAATGGAGTAACAGCATCTTACTGACATCAGTGTGCATTTAACATGGTGTTCTCTGCCAGGTCATGTGTTAGCACACATCCTGTACTCTATCCAGCTTTATTATAACAAATCTGTTAAGTATTTCATTACACTTCTATTTTATTTTTTCTTTATTCCAAATTTTTGCCATAGAGTACATACATTCACCAGGGAGAGACAAAGAGAGGGAAAATGAGATGTCACTCACTGGGGGAACAGCTATGCTCCAATTCCTTCTCTTCCATTATCTTCTCAGGATTCTGGGCACACACACACCCAGGGTGATTTTTTCGGGTGATTTTCTTTCTTTTTTTTTTTCTTTTATTTTCTTTCCTTTTTTTTTAATAAGAATTATTTATTCAATTTTATTTTTAATTTTTTTAAATTTTGGCATAGGGCAATTGTGCTCATCATAGAAAGAGAGAGAGAAAGCGGGCTGCCAGGTCCAGGACTTGAACCGCAGTCAGCCATGTGGGAATCTAGTGCATTAACCACTTTACCACCTGCTAGTCACCCCAGAGTGATTTTATTTTTTGAGAGATTTTTGCTATAGGGCTCATGTACTTGCCAAAGATAGAAAGCAAGAAATCACCCTGGCCACTCTTAAGTCCCTGCTTCACCATTCTCCTGTCAGGATTTTGGGCATGCACGTAGACTCAGTAATTTTCAAGCTATGGGATCCAGGACGGGAACTGCTGTTGGCCATATGAAAGTCCAACACCTTAACTGTTATACCACCTGTTGGCCCATATTGGCCTCTTTGTATTAAAAGAAGTAATTTTGTTATTTGTTCACGATTACATAGGTAATAATTGGAAGAGCCAAGATTCAAACTCAAGTTGCTGGATTTTAGCAGTCCTTAATCACTTTATTATTCTGTCCTGAATAATAAAGTGCTGTTTCAGGCATGCAGTGTAGGCAGATGTCAGATTTCATAGGACCATGAAGCAAGACCATTAAGTGGTAAAGGAAATTAAGGAAAAATTATAAAAAGGCCATTTGATAGAACATACACTCAGTGTTTTCTGGGTAATACATCTATAATCACACATTGTAAAAATTTTAAACAAAAAAATATTATTTAGGGGCCAGCAGCTGGCATGGTGGTTAAGGCACTGAAAACTCCCACATGGCCAACCACAGTTCAAGTCCCAGACCTGGTAGCTTGCTTTCTCACTTTCTCTCTCTCTCTGTCTCTCTTTCTCATCAAATGAAAAAGAATGAATGAATGAATGAATAAAGTAATTCGGGACCAGCAGTTAGCTTAATGGCTATGTCGCTGAACTCCCATGTAGTCAACCATGGTTTGAGTCCTGGACCTGGTGGCTTAAACTCACTCCAGGAATGTGTGTGTGCGTACCCAAGATCCTGAGAGGAGAATGGAGGAGAAGGGATTGTGGCATGCCATCCCCCCAGAGGGGTGATTTCTCGCTTTCTCTCTCTCTGTCTCTCTCTGTCTCTCTGGCGAGCACATGCACCCTATAGCAAAAACCTTTCTAAATAAATAAATAAATAAAAATAAATTAAATAATTCTTTTAAAAATGTCATTTCATAAAGAAGTGCTTTGAAGTTATATATATATTAGGTAATTGGAAAAGTCTGATTTTACTTAGAAAACATTAAAAAAAAAGGCATGACTTTTCTTTTTTTTTAGAGAGAGATTTTTGCTAGAGGATGTGTTTGCTTGCCAAACAGACAGAGAGACAGAAAGCAAGAAATCACCCTCCGGGGAGGATGGCCATGCCACAATCCCTTCTCCTCTACTTTCCTCTCAAGATTTTGAACATGCTGGGAACGAGCAGTTAGCGTAATGGCTATGTCGCTGGACTCCCACATAGTCAACCGCGGTTCGCGTCCCAGACCTGGTGGCTTAAAACTCACGCCGGGTGCATGTGCGTGTGGGCCCAAGATCCTGAGAGGAGAATGGCGGAGCAGGGATTGCAGCATGACCATCCCCCCTGGGGGTGATTTCTTGCTTTCTGTCTCTCTGTCTCTGTCTGTCTGGCGAGCACACACGCCCTATAGTGAAAAACGTCTCAAAAAAAAAAAAAAAAGATTTTGAACATGCTCACACACATGCCTGGTGTGTTTCAAGCTGCTGGGTCCAGGACTAGAACTGTAGTTGGCCATGTGGGAGAACAACACTTTAATTACTATGCCACCTGCTGGCCCTTGTCAAGACTTTTCTGATGATCCAATATTTGGTCTAAAATGCATCCTTTTGTTAAACCTCTAATTAATTGTTGTGATACTTATCAGCTCAATCTAAACCTATGATGTAAGCTAGTGTGTCTTTTTAAATTGAAATATCTAAACGAATGACATGAGAGTCACTGATTCTTTAACGGTTCATTTTATTACTGTATGAAACCTAAAATATATATAAATATATAAATAAATATATATAAGTATTAAATGTGAATATTATATATTTATACATATATTAAATTTTGTCTTAGGTATATTTAAAACTCTAGCATTTAGAAGTGCCTTTCACAGGGACCAGGAGATGGTATAATGGTTATGTCGCTAGGCTCCCATGTAGTCAAGATTCGAGTCCCAGACCTGGCAGCTTAAAACTCATGACTGGCGCATAGGTGTGCATGCCCAAAATCCTTAGAGGAGAACAGAAGAGAAGGGACTACAGCGTGGCCATCACCCCTAAGGGATGATTTCTCTCTTTCTGTCTCTGTCTCTGTGTCTCTGGCGAGCATACATACCCTATAGCAAAAATCTCTTTCTCAAAAAAAAAAAGAATTATTTAATTTAATTAATTATTTTCATTTGACCAGAGAGGGACAGAGCGAGAGAGAGAGACAGAGAGAGAAAATGAGAAAGAAAGCTGCCAGGTCTGGGACTCAAGTCGCAGTCGGCCATGTAAGAGTCCAACACCCACCATGCCACCTGCTGACTCCGCTTACAAGATTTTTTAAATGGAGTTGCCCTTACAACTACTTTCTCTTTTTAAAATAATTTATATTAGGTATAATGAGAAATAAACATAATCAGTGACATAAATTACATTGGAAGCTAAAACCCAAGAATACAAGTTCCTATTCTCTTATTAGCTTGTTACATCACAAGATCAAAATCCTTGCTCAATTTTAATGGTTGTCTTAGTTAAGCAGTGGTTTATTCTGGGAGGCATAATTAATACTTGTTGGCTGACTTCTTCTGCAACTCAACTGTAGTTAGTAATAGTTGTTATTTCTTCAGCAAACAAAGCAAAACTAAATTAAAAACACCCAGCAATGTTGTGTCCTGATTTTTGATTGCTGTTTCTGTAGCTCATTAATTCTACTTGTTGAAGTAGGGTATCCCTTAAAGAACTTTTAATTGTATACAAAGATGCTTATAAAATGTATCTTGTAGCTAAAGAAACTTATGCCCTTTCCCTTAGTTGAAAATTCATAAATTTCTTACTGATTTGATTTTTAAAGTTCTTCATGCATTTCTAAGAACACTTGCATTTATTTGATAATCCTAAACATTTGCTTCCACCTCAGACACACCCATTTCAGCAGTGAGTCAGGAACTTAGTTAAATTTAGTATCATTGTTACTTATTCTTGGTAATATTAGGTAGGTGTTTTTTATTAGGGTAGTGTGTTGGTTTAGAATAGTACATTGATGTAAATTACATTTGCTATGTAAGAAGGAAAAAAGGAATACTACAATATTTACATTTGGATAAAATATCCCCAGACATAAAAAAATTTCATCTAAAATCTATAATTTGGAGTATAGAAAATAAGTGACTTATTATTTCTAAGGCTGGAGAGAACTATTATACACTTGTAATATTCTCAGTGTTTGGTGCTAATTTACTTGATGTTGCCTCTCCTTTCTTTTGCTACTATTTTTCATTTAGGAAAACTATTGTGAGAAGCTAAAATTTTTCTTACTTTGCACATTCATCTTTAACTTATACATTAGCTATTATAACCAATAATATTTTCAATCTTTCCTTTTTGTGATATATGAGCTATGTCACTAGCTATAAAAAGAATTAAAGACCCAAATTACATCTCAGCAGGTAGTGTCACTGGTAATGCATTGTGAAAAAAGTTCGCTGGAGCACATGCATTCTTCAGGGATTTCTGCTGTCATTTGTTAAAGAAAATGAATGTGTGTCTCATTTGCTTGACATAATAATTTAAGTCTATACAATATTTAATTAGATTGCAATGTTAAAAATCATTAAAGTTCCATTGGCTGCCACAAGGTCAGAGAAAAAGATAAAAAAACAAAACAAAACAACCTCATCTCTGAATACTTAAGCATAAACTATAACCTAGTTAAATATTTCCCTTAAAGATTTTTTAGAGTGGCATTCTGGTCACATTTTACAAGTAAATTTGAGAGTAAAACAGATAAAAAGTCTATGTGACCTTTAAGAGACAGGAGATGATCGTAGCATGCACTGATAAGAAAAAACTATCACAGCTTTTAAAGATGGAGACGTTACAGGGAGAGAACCTTGCAGAATTTTGCCTTTGGACTAATTAGTATTTTAAAAGTAAATTTTAGTTTTGTATTTTCTTTAAAAGTTCTTTTCTTAATTATACCACTAATGCCTGATCACTGTAGAAAATGTAGAAAAGGCATATACAAATATTTAAGACATAATCACTTCTCTATTGACCAGCCTAAGGTAATGATTGTTAACATTTTGGTGACTGTGTTTCTTTTTTTTTTTTTTTGGAGAGATTTTCACTATAGGGCGCGTGCGCTCGCCAGACAGAGAGAGACATAGAAACATAAAGCGAGAAATCACCCCCCAGGGGGGATGGCCACGCCGCAATCCCTTCTTCTCCATTCTCCTCTTGGGATCTTGGGCACGCATGCACATGCGCCCGACGTGATTTTTAAGCCACCGGGTCCGGGACGCGAACCGCAGTTGACTACGTGGGAGTCCAGCGACATAGCCATTACGCTAATTGCTGGTTCCCAGTGACTGTGTTTCTAGACACTTCCCCCAAGTAAATGTTTTTGTTTTGTGAGTTGCTATAGGGCACATGCACTCGCAGAGAGACAGAGAGAGAGAGAAAAAACACCCCCCAGGGGAGATGGCCATACTACAATCCCTTCTTTATTCTCCTCTCGGGATTTTGGGCATGCATACGCACTCATCCTGCATGAATTTTCAGCCACCCGGTCTGGGACTCAAACCGTGGTAGACTACACGGGAGTCCAGCAACGTAATCATTACACCATCTGCTGGTCCCAGGTAAACATATTTTTAAAAATCTTTGTGTGTGTGTGTGTGTAGAGAGAGAGAGAGAGAGATTTTTGCTATAGGGCACTTGCACTTGCCAGAGAGAGAGAAACAGACAGAAAGTGAGAAATCACCCCCATCCCGCCCCCCCAAGGGCAGGCATTACAATGCCACAGTTCCTTCTCTTTTAGTTCTCCTCTCAAGATTTTGGGCATGCACACACATATGATCAGCATTTTTAGCTGCTGATCCAGGACTCAAACTGCAGTCTACTATGTGGAAGTCCAATAATGTAACCATTTCACCATCTGCTGGTCCTAATAAATCTTTAAAAATGAAATTGGATCATACTAGGCGTACTTCTATAATATGCATTTTTCCCTTGAAAAATATCTGTGGCAGTAAATACGTAATGCATATTTCTTAATAATTATACCTTATTCAGCTATAGATATCTTAATTGACTTAATCCTCTAATATTGTTTTTTTGTTCCCAATTATCAGTGTCATAAACAGCATGTGATGGACATTAATGATTGTGCCTATTTGGGTACAAAACCAATGATTACCTTATCATAAATTCTTAATGATCCCTGGGTCAAAAACATGTAATTTTCAAAGGCTTTATTATTTTCTTTTAATTTGGTATAGGGCATGTGTGCTTGTGGGAAAAAACAGCAAAAGGGAGGCAGAGTGAGACAGTACTCCCCAGGAGGGATGGCTATGTCGTAATCCTTTCTCCTCCATTCTACTCTTAGGAGTTTGGTCACACACACATAACACACACTCACTCACCTAATGTGTTTTTCAAGCTGCCAGGTCTGGTACTTGAAGCCTGCATTCGGCCATGTGGGATTCAGCCACCTCAACCACCACATCACCTGCTGGTGCTTTTAAAGGCTTTTTATACATCTTGCCAATCTTCTTTATGAAGGTTGTACTAATTATTACTCTAAGTAGCCAATTATTAGTTACTATTTTTCTACATTGAAGGCCAGCACTTATTTGCAAGTCTGAAAGTCTGCTTTTAATTTTCATCTTTTTATGAGTGAGATGGAATTTTTCACACATTTCTTGCATTATATTTCTTTTTGTGAGAGTGAATTCCCTTTTTAACAGTCGGAGACCAATTGTTTTTCTTACTAAGATATTTGCCTTTCTATCTAGTCTGTTTGGTTTGTGGTTTTCCTCTTCAACATTATGGTATATTTGGGGGGAGTTTTTTTGCCCTGGAGTTTTCTTTCCCCTGTAGTTAAATTCCTTGCTATTTTAAAAAGGTTTATTATATATGTAAAGGTGTAATAGATGGAATAATGATTCTTATGTCTTTCATGTGATTTTCACTGATTATGGAACATGGCTTTATCTTTTTACAAATAATTTCAGGAGCAGATATGATAAGTATACATAATGAAGAAGAAAATGCCTTTTTACTGGATACTTTGAAAAAACGATGGAAAGGACCAGATGACATTCTCCTAGGCATGTTTTATGACACAGACAGTAAGTGGAATTTACCTTGTGGGACATGACTTTTTCTGTAACGGCAGTAAAACTCGTGGCTTTCAGATTCTTCAGTTCTCTAGGTCAGATTGTTTCCTGTAGCCCCAGGTATTTCACTTTCATATGCGTCGATGACTTGTACAGTAGCTTTCCCCTGAATAACTCAAGTGTGTTTCAAAGATGAAAGCCACACCTGATTCTCTTGTCTAGATTAAAATGTGGGTTTATGCCCAGCCACCATGGTGCACAGATAGCATCTCTACTAGGGATGCTGGAAGGCCCATGTGAAGCCAGAGTTTGGTTTCCAGGCCAACCCTATAATCCTAACTGATTGGGAGGCTGTCTCTCGAATAAAGGGGGAAAAGCAGTTTTAGGCTCAGAATTTTTGTAATATGGCATAGTCATAAAAATTAGTGTCAGTGATTGATAATATACTAAATTATCAAGATTTCATAAATGTATTATCACTGTAGGAAAAAAATTTAAATTTCAAATGAAATGATAAGATTACTATTACTATTTTAACTATTTCTTGACTTTTCTCCATGAAAATATCATGCATTTCTTTTTGTCACAAAAATGGGATCTTCTCTGAATCTTTTTTTTTTCTTTTTGTTGCCAAAGGGCACTGGACAACTATATGAGAGAGAGGAAGAAAGTACACCCCAGTGGGGCATGGTCATACCACAATCCCTTCTTCTCCATCCCTTCAGGTCTTTGGGCATGAAGCACATGTGTCAGGACTTTCTCAAGCCACCTTTGCTGGGATTTGAGCTATGGCTAGCCATAGTGAGATCTGGCTTTCTGTGCACTGCACTTAATCTCTGCATTAAAGGGCCAACCCCAGGCTAGTAGGTGGCATGGTAGTTAAGGTACTGGATCCCACATGCCTGACTTGCGTTTGAGTTTTGTACCTGAAAGTTTAAAAAACATGCTGGGCGTGTGTGCATACATGCCCCAAATCATGAGAGAATGGAAAAGGAGTTGCAGCATGGCTATTCCCCCTTGGGCTTATTTCTCACTTTCCTTCTCTCTCTCTCCAGTGAGCATGCCCTATTGCAAACTAAAAAAATTAAAAGAACCTTCTTAAACCAACACCGCCTCTTCATTGTTTGCCTGTATATGGGGTATATTTCTCCTTTAAATCCTACAACCTAAAGTTTACAGCAGACATACCTTATTGCCTTCCTGCCTTTCAATCCTGCCTTTCTTGTTTGTTAGTTTTAGAGAGATTATAGGGTGCATGTGCTTGCTGGAGAGACAGAAAGCGAGAAATCACCCCCCGGGGGGGATGGCAATGCCACAGTCCCTTCTCCTCCATTCTCCTCTAGGGATCTTGGGCATGCACACACACACACATTCTACATGAGTTTTTAAGCCACTGGGTCTGGAACTCGAACTGTGGTCAACTACATGGGCGTCCAGTGGCGTAACCAGCATGCCATCTGATGGTCCCTTAAAACCTTTTAAAACTGGCATAATGTTGAAACATTTTCTTAACTGACAGATGCGAACTTCAAGTGGTTTGATAATTCAAATATGACTTTTGATAAGTGGACAGACCAAGAAGATGACGAAGATCTAGTGGACACCTGTGCTTTTCTGCACATCAAGACAGGTGAATGGAAAAAAGGAAATTGTGAAGTTTCTTCTGTGGAAGGAACACTTTGTAAAACAGCTAGTAAGTATGACTGAAGACCTTTTTCCATTCTAAGAGTGGTAGGGAAAAAAGGCTGGTTTTCAAATAATTGTGAGATTAGTGTGCATCATTAAATAGAGGGAGTAAGACTTCAGAATACAGTTGGAAGATTTGCTTCCTAATCTCTTGGGAACTCAAATGTATAATTTTCTTACATTTCAGAGGTAGGGCTATGTAATGTGAACTAAGCCTATTTTATATCCTTATTCTTAGAGCTTGCAAGAGGTCAAAATTTCTTCTTTTGTTAAAAGAAATTATAAGAACATCTCTGCGTGTGATTTAATTGAGCAGAAGTGATGAAAACTAATCTGCATAATTCCAGAATTCTAAAGTTAATTTACAAAGAATTAGAATCTACTAAGAACTAACATCTTTCCTTTAGGTGAAACAAAAGAAACTACATCATGGTACATTAATTAATTCTGAATTAAAATACACTTTCTTCTGACCCATTTGAGTACTTTTTGTTTTCTATAGGGCCCTTGCACTTGCCAGAGAGAGGGAGGAAGTGAGAAGAAATCTCCCCTCCAGGCCACACTGTAGTCCTCTTCTCATCTCCTCTTGGGATTTGAGCATGAATGGCTAGCCTGGGATTCTAACTTTGCTGTCAGCCATGTGGGGTCCAGTGTCTTAACCTCTATGCCACCTGCTGGCCCCCCATCTGAATGGTTTTTAAAGAACAAAATTATCCCAGCCCATTTTGATGTTATTTATTTATTTATTTATTTATTGGAGAGATTTTTCACTATAGGGTGCGTGCGCTCGCCAGACAGAGAGAGACATAGAGACAGAAAGCGAGCAATCACCCCCCAGCGGGGATGATCATGCCGCAATCCCTTCTCCTCCATTCTCCTCTCGGGATCTTAGGCACGCACGCACATGCGCCTGGCGTGAGTTTTAAGCCACCGGATCCAGGACGCAAACCGCGGTCGACTACGTGGGAGTCCAGTGACATAGCCATTACGCTAACTGCTTGTTCCCCTCCATTTTGATATTATTTGATAAACACTGCACAAAGTTCGTTCATTTATATTTTAGAAAGCAAGTATTTCCTCATCAAAATATGAAACAAGACACAAACAGCCATTTGTCCATTTTGCATCCTTAGTATTTTCCCTTCTACTGTAAAACAAAAGCATACATTCGACTCTGATGATTTCCTTTCTCTACATCTGGAATTACACACTTTTTACTGGAAACAGCAGGGTCCTTAACTATAATTAGTTTTATATATAAATGTGTGTCACAGTTTTGTAGTAGTAAGATTCAACTTTAAATATTTATTTGATTTTTAAAAACACTGATTCTTTTAATATAAGTTTTATGTAGGGTACTAGTACCTAAACCAAGTTTTACTTAACTTCAAATCATCAAAAATAGCAAATCCATACTAACGAGGTAAAGTCACACTTTAATTTAGACTCTCCAACCAGAATCTTTATTTCCCTTACATCATTATTGTCCTTTTGTTGAGATCCTTTATTTTTTTTCACAAACTAATTCATTTTTGTTAGGCCTCTATCTACATCTTCCTTTAAAAAGTTCAAAATGGGACCAACAGTTAGCGTAATGGCTATGTCGCTGGACTCCCACATAGTAGACAGCGGTTCGCGTCCCGGACCTGGTGGCTTAAAACTCACGCCGGGCGCGTGTGCGTGCGTGCCCAAGATCCTGAGAGAATGGAGGAGAAGGGATTGCAGCATGGCCATCCCCCCTGGGGGGTGACTTCTCGCTTTCTGTCTCTCTGTCTCTGTCTGTCTGTCTGGAGAGTGCATGCGCCCTATAACGAAACACCTCTCCAAAAAAAAAAGTTCAAAACAGATAACAGAAAATTCAACAATAGAAATACTATTACTAACCTACTAAATAGTTCATTTTTCATGACTTTGAGTGTTTAAAAGTCAATCTTATGAAAAAGCATAATTAAACTTTAATTTTTCCTTTTTCTTTTAGTTCCATATGAAAAGAAATATTTATCAGGTAAGCAATGATCTGGTCTTAAAATTTCTCCCATAATTAAAAATATATTAAAATGTTGGCATGTTAAAATAGTTACAGACCCCTTTCAAAAAATTAATTCTGTAACATAAAGTAGAATAAACTATTAGAAGAATATAGCAAGGTCTTCTAGCTTAGTAATGACTTAATATTTTAAACATGGTAACTGTAAATTATATGTGAAATGAACTTTATTTTTTACACCAAATTGTATTTTTTCATTGGACTCCATTATCTGTTTTTCTTGGAAATGACTGTCTTCCCTTTAAAAGTTTTACTTCATGGTTGTAATTATAAATCCTAGGGCATCTGTTTTGAGAACTTACTAAAAGTGGTTTTCTAATAAAAAGGAACAGGTTTATTTTATGTGGTATAAAAATCAAAACTATGTAAGGCAAACTTTGATTCTATTTATCCTATTCTGTTTTACCTTAAAAACAGAGTAGAGTAGATAGATGTAGTGTTTTTACTATATCTTTTTAAAGAGATTTTTCCTATAGGGCACTTGTGCAGGTTGGAAAAACAGAGACAGAAAGCGAGAAATCACCCACCAGGGGGGATGGCCACGCCACAACCCCTTCTCCTCTTAGGATTTTGGGCACACACACACATGCACCTGGTGTGAGTTTCAAGCCTCCAGATCCAGGATTCAAACTGCTGTTTAATGCATGGGAGTCCAGTGATGTAACCATTACATTACCTGTTGGTCCCCCATCTCAAGTTTTTTTTTTTTTTTTTTTTTTTTTTACTGTTTCTTCTTTAACCATTTAGCTTCTTTTGCTAATATAAGCAAATTGAAATATGTGACCTATTTCGCCTCTTAACTCATTAATATATTCCAGAGGTCTCTCCATATCCTATCTACAGATAAATTTTCCTTTTTTTACAACTTTTTTTGACAACTGCATGCTTCCACTGTATGAATATTCTCATATATTTAACCAACCTCAGAACTCTACTCATTTATGGGACCAGCAGTTAGCATAATGGCTATGTCGCTGAACTCCCACCTAGTCGACCGCAGTTCGAGTCCCAGACCCGGTGGCTTAAACTCACGCCGGGCGCATGTGCGTGTGTGCCCAAGATCCCGAGAGGAGAATGGAGGAGAAGGGATTGCAGTGTGGCCACGCCCCCCGGGGGGGATTTCTTGCCTTGGTTGTTTTTCAGCGGGTGTCTGCCCCCTTAAAAAAAAAAAAAAAAAAAAAAAAAACCTCTACTCATTTCCAAACATCAGCTATTATGAACAGTGCTGCACAAATACATACTCCTTTGTAGATTAGATTGCCTCGAATGCTGGGTTGGATCGAATATAACTTTGATATTGTTTTTATAGGAGCTGTACCATTTTGCATTAGTAGTAATACAAATGCCTGTTATGAAACTTTTGGATTTTCGCCACTGGATAATAGTTTTCAGTCACTATATTTCGAGGCATAATTTACATAGAGTAAAATGCACAGATCTTAGATGTATACACCTTGATGCATGTTCGTGTATTCACCAGCATAACTATACTCAGTAAGAGTTTGTGTGCTTACAGGAGTTATATCCTCATTCTTTCATAGGAAGAATACAATGTATATAGCATTTCGATATGAATTGCACCACCTCATACCCATTAACTGGCTACTGTTTTTTTAAGAGGTTTTGCCTTAGGCGTGGGCTCACCAGAGAGAGACAGAGACAGTGAGGGAAAGTGAGAAATCACCCTCAGTGGGGATGGCCACTCCACAGTTGCTTTTCTTTCATTCTCCTTATGGGATTTTGGGCATGTACACACATGTGCCCAGCATGATTTTCAAGCTACCGGATCTGGGACTTGAATAGTTTGGTTGGCTGTATGGGAATTCAGCAATTTAATCACTACACCATCTGTTTGTCCCAGCTGGCTACTGGTTTTATAAAAAAGTGTGTTGGAGGGACCAGCAGTTAGTGTAATGGCTATGTTGCTGGACTCTCCCATGTAGTCGACTGTGGTTAGCATCCCGGACCTGGTGGCTTGAAACTCACACCAGGCGTGTGTGCATGCGTGCCCAAGATTCCGAGAGGAGAATGGAGGAGAAGGGATTGTGACGTGACCATCCCCCCTGAGGGTGATTTCTCGCTTTCTGTCTCTCTGTCTCTCTCTGTCTGTCTGGTGAGCACACGCGCCCTATAGCAAAACCCTCCAAAAAAAAAAAAAAAAGTGTGTTGGCAAGGATGTACAGCAAGTAGAACCCTTGCACACTGTTGGTGGGAATGTAAGGTTAGTGGTATAAAACAGTGATGGCTCCTCAAAAAATTAAAAACGGAATTACCATATTTTACTCAACGATTCCACCTCTGCATGTATATGTACCCAAGAGAACTGAAAAGCAGGGACTCAAAGAGATACCTGTACACTTTTGTTCACAGTAGTGTTCACTATTAGCCAAAAGTAGAAGCATTCCAAGTGTCCATCCACAGATAAACAAAATGTGATATATATACATAATGGAGTATTATTCAACCTTAAAAAGGAAGGAAATTCTGACCCATACTACAACATGCATTAATCTGAGGATATTAGGCTAAGTAAAATAAGCCTGCCACACAAGGAGTAATACTGAATGATTTCACCGATATGAGGTACTGATAGAGGTATGTCATGGAGATAAAAACTAGAATGGTGTTTGTCAAGGGCTAGAGAGAGAGAAATGGGAGTTATTGATAGGTGCAGTTCCAGTTTTGTAAAGTAAGAATTTTATAGATGGGTGGTTGTGATGTAGCATAACAATGTGAATGTACTTAATACTACTGAACTGGTTGGTAACTTCTGTTGCATTTTACCACAAAAATATTTTAACAATCAAGAAAAACAATGTAAGCATGTAATTTAGAAGCATGAGGACAAATAAAACAGGAGTAGCTCCAAAGAATGGATCATGGGACCAGCAGTTAGCATAATGGCTGTGTTGCTGGACTCCCACGTAGTTGACCGTGGTTCACGTCCCGGACCCAGTGGCTTAAAACTCACGCCGGGCGCGTGTGCGTGCGTGCCCAAGATCCCGAGAGGAGAATGGAGGAGAAGGGATTGCGGCATGGCCTTCCCCCTGGGGGGGTGATTTCTCGCTTTCTGTCTCTCTGTCTGGCGAGCACACACGCCCTATAGCAAAAGCCTCTCAAAAAAAAAAAAAAATGGATCAAAGGGGTAAGTAGGCAGTGGAGGAGGGCATTATCTTTTGATTAGCTACTTCCCAGAACTATGACAAGCTACATACATTTCTTTTCTTTCTTTCTTTCTTTTTTTTTTTTTTTTTTTGCTCTAGGGTGCACGCGCTTGCCAGAAAGACAGAGACAGAAAGCAAGAAATCACCCCCCAGGGGGTGACCATGCCGCAATCCCTTCTCCTCCATTCTCCTCTCGGGATCTTGGGCACGCACACAGACATGCCCGGCGTGAGTTTAAGCCGCCGGGTCTGGGACTCGAACCTCAGTTGACTACATGGGGGTCCAGCGACATAGCCATTACGCTAACTGCTGGTCCCGTATATTTCTTTTTTATAATATAAAATTTACTATTTATTTAGTCATTTACTGAACAAAATGAGATTTTTCCATCCAGTATATATCATACATATATATTTCAAAAAGAAAGGACCTATGTAAACTGAAACATATATAGAAGAGTAGGTAGGTCTATGATAGGCCTCACCATGTCGGGAATAGTTGAAAGACCTAGATACATTTGGTCTAGAC